TAACATTCGTAATAGCTGGTATTATCAGCTCTTGTTAATATTAATAATATATGATTATAATAGTATAGATTTTTTCTTGATTTACATATAAGCATAAGTAAGTTATAAACGCGACCCGTGCGTCTCCCTCTCTCCCCGTGTCTTGCTCATCTTGCGCCTCCCTCTCCCCATGTCTTGCTCATCTTGCGCCTCCCTCTCCCCGTGTCTTGCTCATCTTGCATCTCCCTCTCCCCGTGTCTTGCTCATCTTGCGTCTCCCTCTCTCCGTGTCTTGCTCATCTTGCGCCTCCCTCTCCCCGTGTCTTGCTCATCTTGCGTCTCCCTCTCTCTCCGTGTCTTGCTCATCTTGCGTCTCTCTCTCTCTCCGTGTCTTGCTCATCTTGCGTCTCTCTCTCTCCGTGTCTTGCTCATCTTGCGTCTCTCTCTCTCTCTTCCTCTTGCTCTCGCTAACACAGGTGCAGTTCTGCATGGGCATCGGTCACGGATTTATCGGCCTCTACGTGCATTGTCCGTTCCCGAAGTGGATGCATTACACGCTCATATGCTACGCCTTCTCCTTCATCGTGCTGTTCGGGAACTTCTACCGCCACACCTACCGCGCGCGCAATGGCGCCAAGAAGCCGCAGGTAGGTGACGTTCACATGTTTTATGTACGGTGGCGCCCCCCCCCCCCTGTCACGGTGGTGGGATCACGAGGGAATCGAAGGTGGGTCGTGTGTTTTGTCACCCTCGTGCTGTGTTAGTGAGGCTAGAAAGCAGTGAGAGCACGTTCATTTGTTTTCACACGGTGGCGCCCTCTGCACGTGATGACAGGAAACGTGGCGTGTCGTGGCAATCGAGGTGCGGATCTATGTATAGAGTCCGCTTGCTTTCATTGCTTTGCAGGAGAGCGAGAGCAGTGCGAACGGAACGGTCTGCAATGGCCACCTGGCGAAGGATTCACGCATCAGCAACGGTATCACTTCGAGCTCGACGACGGAGATTCGAAGCGCCACCAACGGCGTCAGTCTAGCCAAGAATGCGCAGGGTTGGCCACTCCGCAGGAAGGGCAGGCGGGAGAATTAGACTGCCACCTGCTGCTCGCAGACGCACCCGCAGCCAGGGTCCACTCGCCTCGCGGCGTCCATCTATTTATCCGCTGTACATCCGGTGGAGGTGTACGTCCCCTCTGAAGCGTTTGTGCCCCACCCTCCTACACACACACATGCACACGTGCCTCTGGTTCCATGTAGAAGTAAGTATTGCTGTGTGAGCGTGAGACAATTGTTGGGCGACAATATTTAGCTGTGAGCACATATGGATGCAGGTATGCATACACACGTATGTATGTACGCATGCAGGCGCTCATGCACGCACACATACATATGTATGCACTCGCGCGCACGCATGCACGCACATACGCATGCACGCACATACGCATACACGCACGCATGCACATACGCATGCAGGCAGTCATGCATGCACACACACACACACACACACACACACACACACACACACACACACACACACACACACACACACACACACACACACACACACACACACACACACCGACACGACGACACGACGAACGTAACTACCGACTACGTACGTAACCAACCGTAACCGACACGTACAGACGACACACGAC